CAGGCAGGTGTTCCCCAGGGACATCCAGCTCTGTGGCACCAGAGGCTCCAAGCCCAACACAGCACTTAATTAAAAAAACAAATAATCAGATAAAACCCTGTTTTGGGATAGTAATGCCTGCACAATTAGCAGTTTTGTCGCACTTGTCCCACTTGCACCAGTTGGGGGTCCAGGCCTTGGCACCGTCAGACCCGCGTTGAAGGAAGAGCCTTGGCGGTCTCACTGTTCCACCTCGCAGCTTCCCTCAGCCGGTCTGGTTTTGGAGATGGGATTTGGGGGCGATAGGGCTCTAGGAGACAAGGCAGCTCCTTCCCTTCATCTTGCTGTGACTTGGTGGGCCATCCTTCTGCTCCAAAGCTGCAGACAGCAAGGGGATGTTCTGGAGCACATCGTGCAGTGTGAACATGCTGAAGGAGATCTGCTCGTAGGGAGAGCGTGTTCCGTTCTCGTACAGGCAAGCAAAGGCAATGGCTGGTGTGCCAGAAGCTGAGTACTCCGAGTAGGGCAGCTCGATGTAGGCCAGATCTGAATAAGCACTTGGGCCTTCATATATAACCCATGGCTCGGTCCAGCTCTCGGCATCCCTGGGGAAGGTACTAAGGTGAATCCCCATGTTGACCCGTGACATGGAGCTGGTGGGGTGGGAATAGAGCACCCATGTTGGTGTTTGAAAGAAGAGGGAGCGTTCGGAGGTAGCTTGGGGGCCATGTTGTCCTGCAATAGGGCCTGAGAAGGTGACATCATTGATATCACTGTGATGCCCTCCAGAAGGACAGATCTCTTTGGACCCACCTCTTACTTGGCTGCTGGAAGCAGTGGTGGGCATGTTTCCATCAGGTGCATCCCAAGCAGGAGGGTTAGGAAATCTGGAGAACTTCCTAGAGAGCAGCAAGTGACCTAGGCCTCGGCGGGATGCTGACGGGGTCTTCGGAGCAGTGGGGACATATACAAAAGGTGCAGGGAAGCCAACGATGCTGCCGTGACAGCCATGCGGGGGTTCAACCAGCCGCTGCACCAGCTGCCCGACGTGGAAGACAGCCCCATCATCGGTGCTTAGCGCCTGCACTCGGAAACCCAAGGGGCTCCGGGCGTTGCAGTAAAGGACGTTGGAGCCGTCCTCCTCGTCCACAGAGACCAGCTGGCACTCTCCTGTCTGCAGATTGGGGATGAACTCCCCAAAGCGCCAGCTCTGGCCATGGTCGTCGCTGTAGAAGGTGAAGGAGTGCGGTGTGGTCTTGCAGAGCTTCCCAAAGCACTCCTTGCAGTCAATGTGGTAGCTGTAGGCAGGTATCAGCAGCCTGCCGGAGCGGAGCTGGATCCCATGCCCGGGGCCCAGGGCAAATGTGGCCCAGTCTGGGTAGGAAAGGAGGGATGAGCATTAGGAGCAGCCTAGGACTCAGGGTGAAGGGGGGGAAAAGGAGATAGAGATATTCTCCCCACCTCCTCCCCCTGTGCTCGAGACCTTCTTCCCTTTATTCCAGATCCTGTCACTGATTTCCCTTCCCTGGGGCATGTGGTCACAGCCAGAACCTGACTCCAGCTGGGGCAAGGGTTGTCCCTGGAAGCCCTAGATCATGCACATCCTCCTGGCTTTTCTCGCCCTTCCTCTCCCCCTTCGCACAGGATTGCTACCTTTGATGGCTCTGCCGATGACCTGCTGTGTCAGGTCGGTGACCTTACTCCAGCTCAGGCCTTGGTCAGCGCTGGTGACGTAGCAGAGCCGGGTGACATTCTGGCCAGTGATGATCTGGTAGGCTTCTGGTGTCTTCCCCAGCACCGTGATGAAGAAGAGGAAGAGGGTGCCTGTGAACTCGTCGTAGATGGGGCAGGGGTTCATGGATCGGTGGTGCTTCAGGGTGGCAGTCTCCAGCACTCTCATGTCTTCCCACTGCACAGGTAGAAAGAGGAGCAGGAGGGACAGCCCAGCTGAGGGACTTGGCCTTCTGCCTTGCCTCTCCCGCGCTCTGCAGCTCAGCCCATGCATCCCTGTATCCCAGGACATCCCAACAACGGGCTTCAAACAGCTCCTGGCATTCAGTCCTGCCATATGCTGGTAGCAAAGGGGCAACCAGTGCACCCAGAGCTCTGACTTTGATGGGATCCCAGCGTGTCCCTCACCCAACAATGTGCCCGGAGAGCTTCCTGTGCTGCTGGGATGTTTCTCTAGGTGACGCCCCCCTTCCCGTTGATTTGCTGCTGGTGTTGGTTGTCCCTCACTCACCTCCACGTAGTTCCTGTAGATGGTCCCTCGCCGCAGCACCAGCAGGTTGGCGTGGGCGTCATCGGCGCTCAGGCGCTCCTCAGCGAAGGCCAGCAGCTTGGCCACGCAGGGCAGGTAAAGCAGGGCTGGCACGCGGTACGTCACCCCGTTGGACTCCTTCTCAAACAGCACCGTCCGGGCTGGGAAATGCCGGGAGCCCATGGCGGCTGCAGCAAAGAAACGTGCCCAAAACCACCTAAGGAAGCGGTTGTGGAGCAGGAAGGGTCGAGGCAAGTGGGAGCACCAAATCTGGGGAATGATCCTGCCTTTCCCAGCGTTGAGGCCAGCCCTGAAGGGGTTGGCTGAGACATGAGACATGCTGTTTGTGTGATCACATTGGCTCTTGGAGAAGATAGCAAGAAGGACTTGGTTTTGAGGGCACTGCTGGCAAGGAGACGCTACATGGGCTACGTGCACATTCCCAGTATTTCCTAGAATGACTGTTTCTGATATGATAGCCCGGCAGTTAGGCTGGGTCAATTAGCTGTTTTTAACCTTACTTTAAAAAAGCTTCCACATTATTTTTGCCAAAGAGGCAATACCCCTTTTTGCTTTATGCAACGGCCCTGTTTTCCGAGGAGTCTGCACATTAGCTGTGGCAAGCTTAGGGCACACAGCAATTGCGAGCAAGGGAAAACGCAATCGGATTTATCATCATACAAGACGAATGCCACCCAAAACCAAATAAAAGTCTGAAAAACAGGTAGCTAGGCTAACAAAAGGTCATCGCTTTAGTACACAGGACAAATGACTAAACAGCTGACTCGGTGCTGAGAGCGTCCTGGTAAACCATCCCCACCCAGAGACACCAGATGAGTCGTGGGTAACGCGGATGGAGCAGAACTGGGCAGACCCTCTTCTTGGCTTCCAGTGAGAGCAAACCAGGAGCGGGGGCTGGCCCCCAGATAAAATAAATGTGATCTTCAAGCTGCCCTTTGGAAGGGATGTCCAGTAAGTTCAGGCTGGTCAGCAAAGAGTGAGATGTGACCTGCAGTTCCTCACTCCCACTAGCCACTGTTTCGTAGTGAGGGCAAATTGCCGCCAGCTCAGTGTGGCCAGGACACCAGGACCAGCCCAGGACCCTTGCACAGATCTTCAGGACACACTTTGTTCCCGGGTTTTCCTTCACTTCAGCTCTGCAGCTGAGCCCAGCCCTGGAGAGGGTTGCAGGGGGCTGTGTGGGCATCCCTCCCCACTACCACGACATGGGTTGGTGGTCTGCTTAGCCCTGCTAAATGGACAGTCCATCTCTAAAGGACATCTGTATTATTTCCTTCTGCTTTTTTATTTACTTGTCCAAGAGAGAATGCCTGGTTGCAATAATAGACTCAGGAGATGAGATTTTAAGCAGCTGAAGAAGAAAAGGTGGCTTCCAGAGGTGGCTCTGGAGATACCAAAAGATAACACTGCCCTCAGCCCGCCCATGTGCAAGTCTGTCCTAGGGAGGTCTTCCCAACACCAGCATGTAGACACCAACACTCACGCCTTGTTTCTCCCTACTGTTGATCTAGAAGTGCTCTGGAGATGCCCCCGGGAAGCGCTGTCCTGCAGAGGACACTGCAGAGCACCGTTCCTGGGGAAGGACAGATGCTTGCTCCCTAGCCAGGCTCTGTGACAGCAGAGCAGGAGTTACGTGTGTCCCTGCGACACCCAGTTCTTGCATTAGGGTATAAATACTCAAAACATGCATGGTTTTTTTTTTTTTTTTAGGGACCCCAGCAATCCCAAAGGGATCAGGGCCAAGGAGGCCTTGGGTTACCACCAGCTGTTCATCTAGGCTATTTAGACATGCTGCGGGTGGATTCCAACCCAACGTTCTTGTGTGTGGCGATGTATCTGGTAAATACATGTTGCGTACTTTGCTCTCCTGCTCTTATCTTCCTCTGCATGAACCAGTGGGTTCTATGACTGACCTTAAAGAGCAGCAAGGAAGGGCTGGGAAATAACGAAGCCATCTAGGAGCAAGGCCAATCCAGCTCGGGCATGGGGAGACACGATGAGGGTTTCCTTGGGTCAGCACTCACTGGGCAAAGCTTTTTTCTGATGGTCCCTTCTGCTGCTCTCCTTCCTCCTGCTCATTTCCACAGAGTGTCAACGTGCTGTAAGAGCAGCAGCAGTTGGGAGCAGCAGATATCCCTCCTTTCTACTACTGCACGGGCACAGCGCAGCCTCTGGGATGCCTCCCAGCTCACTAGTGCCTGCTCCAGAGAAAAAGATGGGCTGGAGCAGGACGTAGGCTGGCACGTTTATCAGGAGCGCTGCCGAAAGCTAAAGGAGTCGCGGAATAAACGTAAAGGCACTCACCGAGGCCGCCCGCGCTGGCGGTGTCCCGCACCGGGGCTGTGAACGCCGTCGCGCTCCTCGCGCGCTGCTGCCGCCGGGGCCGCCGCGGCTCCGTCCCGCATTATCGGGGCAGGCTGCCCCCGGGGCCTCCCCTCCGCGGATTCGTCTCGCTCAGGGCGCCGGGAGGGGATGCAAGGACAAGCACCCGGGGATGCCAGGACGAGCGCCCGTGCGGGCTGTGCTCCTCCTGCCAAGGCTCGCTCCGAGCTTCCCAGCTCTCGCTGCGGCAATCCCGACCCTGCATTCGGGAAACCCGTCTTCATGGAGGGCAGCGCTGGAAACCAGGGTAACAGATGAGAATCAAAGGGGCCAGGGTTAAAAATGGGGATAAGGAGAGGGTTTGGGCTCATATAAGCCAAGGGGATGTTTGTGACAAGCCACCAGCAACCTAACACTGACTGGGAGAGACCCAATGCAAACACTGGGTGGAAAGGGATGCCTTGGGTAGGTGCTAACTTGAGATACCTTCAGGCAAGAGAGTATCTGGGGCTAGCAAGACCCGCTGTGGTTGTATCCACGGCTTTTAAAGCTCACCAAAACACACTAGTGGATAATGCAACACCCGCTCTGCTCCGTGTTGCTGCAGGAGACCCTCTTTGCTTGTCAGCGCAAAGGCGATCACAGGGAGATGCAGCTTGTCCGTCCCTGAGGACACTAAAGGGCTTTAATTGCTGAGCCCAACGTCTCCCCTGGGGCCCTCCACCCACGCACCCTCTGCCTGTGGCCCCAGAGCCCCGCTGAAGCTCACACCTGGCCTGAGTTCTGCTGAAGGTGCCTGTGTCCAACCTTGGGGCTGTCCATCCCATCACGGCATCTGCCTTAGCACTGACTCTATCCTGACGGTCGTGGGGACCTTATGCGGCAGAGCCCACCCCGTCCCAGCCCAGGCGCTGCCGGTGCTGCTGTTTGGCAAAGCAGAACCCCGGCAGCCCCGGGACGGGCACGGCCGCGAGCGGGGTGCGAAGGCTCCCAGGATCGCAGCACGCAAAGCGCCTCTGGATTGCACCTACGGGGACTGAAGCACAGGAGGTCTCACAAGGGACCGCAGATTTACAACCTCTTATTTGCCCTAGCTAGTTAAAAAATTCTGTTCAGCCTGTTAAATTTTAGCTACGGCTGTTGGGATAGAAACCTATTACGTTATCAGCCATCTCTCAGGGTTACTGTTTCACCTCAGACAGCCCTGCTGCTGTGCAGGTTGGAGCACAGTTGGAGAGCAGGTAACGTTGCACTGAGTGAAGCCAATCCTGGCCTCAGCTGGACTGGAAAACGGGCTCTCAGGCTCCCAGTAAGACACGCCCAGCCACCAACGCTCCCCTGCCCCTACCTAACTTGGTGCTGCTCTCTGTCGTGGGCAGGTCTGACTCTGGTAGCAACCTCAGCTGGTTTGTTTGGTCCCACCAGGGCTACACGCCTGGTCATGACGGCCTCGCTAACATCAGTGAGGGTCCTGCCTGAACCTCTTCTTGATTCAAATGGAGCCAAACAAAACTCCAGACGTGTGTCTGATCCCTCAGAATGTGTTTATCCTTCTACTCTCTGCCAAGTACTAGGAAGGGCATTTTAGGCTTTCTAACGGTGCTCTTTAGTTTCTACTGCATGACTCTTGTTTTCCAGACTGACCTGCTGAAAGGCTGTTTTGCCCCAGAGGTGGCTGCATTTCGGCTATAAAAGAAGCCAAATCACAGAAAGGTTGAGGTTGGAAGGGACCTCTAGAGATCATCTAGTCCAACCCCTACTCCAGCTGGGACACCCAGAGCAGGGGCACAGGGTGGCATCGAGGCAGGTTTAATCAAAGTACACAAGTCACCCATTGGTTTGCAAATTCCTGTAAGGTAACGTTGCACATGTTGGCAAGAAGCAGGGTATGCTGTTCCTGCACAAAAACATACTGAGAATGGAAAACTGTGCAGTTTGCAACAGCTGAGCACTTGGGTGAGTGCATGAGGCCTCTGGGGTGGACTAAAAGAAGCCATTCTCCTGTTCTCTCAACCTTGCCGCTGCTGCACCCATCAATGAAGGAGAGATTATTTGTTAAACTGAAAAATACTGTACCATTGCTATGAAAAAAAAATAAAATAAAAATGGTGATGGGCATTTCTACTCGGGAAAGCCATGCTGCTCACCAAGGCTGCTCACCGCTTTGTCCAAAAGGACACCTGCCGCCGGGGCAGTAATTAATGAGCAGCCTCCAAACGAGGTCACCGGTGGAGATGGTTTGCCTGTTCCTTGGTGGCCTTGCTGTTCTTCTGATGGGCCTTCCTGTGTTCGCTATGCCCGTGGGTTGTTTATGTATGAGCACAAATGTTCCAGGAGGGTTTAGTTAGCCCTTTCAATGATGAGGAAATACCCTAAGTGAGCAGCATCCCTACCTCCATCAACCCTCTGGCCTAATCAGTGCTTGAGATTTTGGCCACAGGACCAGTGAAGATCTGGTGAAGCTCTTGCTACCCTGGCACATCGAGCCAGAACTTGGATCTGGGGGAAGAAGGTTGGTCTGGGGGATGGAAGGGGTGAATGTGAAGCTGTGACAGCCTCCGAGTATGGCCAAGTCTTGGTTATGGCCTGTAACTCTTGGCCAGGGTCTCTGCATGCACAAATAAGTCGTTTCCTAGGCCAATGTTTCTGAAGCAGCAATAGAGCAGGCTGATATGGATGAAAATACAGGTATCATCTGGCTTGTTATAATTAATCACACAATTTGTTCTGTCTCACACTCTGAATCACTTTATTCTTAATCCACTTTCAGCATCCGCCAACCTGGAGGTATCCAGACCTTGAAAGAAGGTTACTACTTGTTCTTGTTGTGCAAGAACTTCTTGTTCTTGTACTAGTTGACCACCCACAAAGAGAAGGCACATGGGATTATACAGTGTTACTGGGTGGCTAATATTCTGTCCTGACATAAGACCAAAGCAGTAACAGCAATGTCCAGAGCATGGGTGGGCCAGGATAAAAACCATATTACTTTGCTCCATGGTCCTCTACTATTGGCAGTGGGAAGCAGGAAAAAGGCACATGTGATGGCCGGAGGACCCTCACCTCCTCAGCGCAAGGAGAAACAACAACACAGGCCCTCCTGAGCAAAGGAGAGCACAGAGCCACCCCAACATCATGAAGGTCCCCCCCTACCACCTCGTAACACACACAAGAGAAAATAAGTAACAGGGAATTCTCACATCCTCCTCAGGAATGTGCTCCAAGGGGCTCCCAGGCCAGACTTCTGCTTTGGACAAGTCCTCTTGACGATCTGCAAAGCTGCGACCCAACATGCAGGCACATTCCTGCAGCCCCTGAGCCTGCCCAGAGGCTGCTGGCTCCTCCACACCGCGGGGTGTTGCTTAGGGTGGTCACAGCAAGGCCAGTGGTGGAAAGTTCTGGTATCCAGCCGGAGAGCGGAACGCCTTGGGGCCGTATCGATTACTGCTTAGACACTGCAGCTGGAGCACAAAGCGACCTGGGAATTCTGATGGAGGTGGAGTGGGACCATAATTTCTCTTGCAAGTGATTCGCCCTTCCAGGCTGTATTGCCTCTTCATTTTCCTGTGCTCTTGTTTCCTCCTCTCTCCCTCACTTTAGTCTTGTTAAAAAAAAAAAAAAAAGGAAAAAAAGAATGGGCTTGCTCTAGTGAGCTGTATTTAGCTTGGAGGTAATGCAAACTGTTAAATAGGGTCAAATGCAAAGCACAGTGATTAATGATTAAGAGGCAGGAAACTTCAACCAGTTTTAAAGAACTGTCAGTGTTCAGGAGGACTGCTCCTATGCCTGTGACAGCGGTTTCACCCTGGGGAAGGGAAGGAGGAATCTAGAGGTATCGCTAGCCATTTTCCCTGTTATTTATTTATTTTTCCTCATCACTTGCTGCTCTCACAGGCACAGTAATGCGTTGGAGGGGGCTTCATCTAGCCCAGCATGGCAACTGCTGTGCTTCTGCCTGCTCCATAAGTGGCATCACTGCTGCTCGGGTGGGCATGAGCAAGGACAAAATGCAACACAGCAGGAAGGAGAACCAGCCCAAAGAGCCTTTGTCTGAGGGGACACGATCGGCTTCCTCAGGCCTGGAAACCTGCATAAAACTGTGGTAGTAAGTACGAGGAGACAGACCCATCTGGGGATGCACAGTCAGTACTAACAAAGCAATGACCTTGTGCTTCTACCTACCAAGATATTTTAGCAGAAGAAAGAGGTTAGATATGTGCTGGCTTTTCAGTGCTTCCCATCAATAAATGGCACTGCTGTGAAAACCATCTCATCGTTTCCTTACTCCCACACACCAAGAAGAGATCACATCTGGAGGTGATGAGCTAGACGATCCCAGAGGCACCAGAAAGGAACTGCAAAAGGATTTTGTCCTTTAAATCTTTGCCACGGAGGAGAGGAGATGGGCATGTTCCCAGTCCAGGGAGATCATTGCTGAAGGACACACTCCTCAGCATGTTGAGAAAGGGCGTGGGTTTCAGATGTCATTAACCCCAAACCATAACAATGATCGAATTAGGGCTATATAACACTATCTTAAATCTAAGACATTGCACAAAGATTCACAGATTGAACTCACAGAGACCAAATCACCCCATCATCACACCACCCCTCTGAGTCCTGCTTGCCACACAGTCTTGCTGTGCTACTCTGCCACTGCAGAAATGAGGTTCCCATCAACTTGGTTTCCTTTGGCTAAGGAAGACTGGCACACCCTTACCATCACTCTCACGTGTCCTGCTGGGCAGCCACATGCTAGACAAACATTGGAAGTGCAAACAACTGCAAGCTGATGCGATACTGCCAAGTGCCTTAGTTATGGCTTGGTGATGTTTTGTTTCCTCAAAAACTATTCCAAAACAAGGGAAAGCCTAGTTGCTTCCTCTTCTTGTGTGGATGCCGAAGAGCATAAAGGTAGGACATATATTGAAGCTCTGGCATAACTATTTTCTGGCAGGCTCTCAGAGACTTTTTGTCTAAGTCTTGATTGAGGTTATAACTCAGGATACTTGCAGCCCCAGACTGGAAAGGCATGAGAATTTTATCCTTGATACGAGTCTTCTCTACTGGCCTCCAATCTGAGAGACAGATCTCCATGAGTTCCTTCTGTCTTGCTCGCAAACTATTCACCTCCTTTTCCAGTTCCTCTAGTCCTATGGCCTCCTGAATTCTCTTCCAGAAGGTCTGGTTGAAATGCAGGTAGAGTTTCCAGTCAAGCGAGCACCATGCTTTAACCCTCTCCTTGCTCTCAGGAGTCAATGTCTGGACAGTGTCCTCTTTTCTGGAATTGAGCTTAAAGTAAATCACATCATCTAGGTCCCAGCATAATGTGTGCTTCAAGAGGATCATGGACTCATCAAAGTAGTCTGCTATCAGGACCAGGTGGAAGTTTTGTTCAATCTCCTGCAAGACTGCCTGGATGTAGCTTTCATCATCTTCTGCATTGTTGTCATAGCCAAAGTCAAACCACATGTTATTCTTGGCATAAATGTTTTGTTTGTAATTACCCTTACGGTAATAGCTCATTGGTGATGCCAAATACTCATTCACATCCTTGGATGTTCTGAAGGCAGGAGCAACATTCTTGTAATAGACGTAGGAAGATTCCAGCTGAGAAACTGGGTTCCTTACAATGGAAAAGTAGAAGGTGTTCTCTGCCATCACTTTTTGCACCTGTTTACAGTGGGGAAGGAGTTGTTAGTTTGGGACACTTCTTATTCAACAAGGTTTCTCAACATGAGAACTCAGGAGTTATAGGTCTTACCTCTAAACGGTTAAACCGTAGGTGGTTGCACATGATATTGTAGTTTTGTCCTATGGTTCGAAATTCCTCTACAAAGCTAGTTGTGAAGGTCTCTGGATAGCCCAGGTGGACGAGCTGGTTAGCTGGGAGGGCTATGGTGAGGTTGTTCTTCTCCGTGAAGCGGAACAGGATGTTCAAGATGGTGCTGCTGGCAGTCTTGTGTGTCTTGAGGAACATGACATTAGTCTTAGCACGACAGGACAGATTGGGGGTAACCAACTCGACCGAGCTCCTCCGGAGTCTGCGTGAACATAACACACGGGGAAAACCATCTCAGCAGTCCTATAACCCATCTCTCACATCTGGCAAGGCTGTTTTGATCCTAGCTCAATTAACCAAACCACTTACTTACTTATTTTTTTCTTCCTCACTACAGTAAGGTTTCAGGAGACAATATCAGTGTTTTTTCTTCTGATATTACACTTGGAGATGGTGCAAATCACCAAACCAAACAAGCCCCTTCCCTTAGCTCCAAATAACAGTCTTCTGCTTCTGCTGGTCCTCACTTACTAGGAAGAGGAGGAATGGCTCAAAAGTGGCAACTTGATCACTTTTTCCATTTATGCAGGATAGATTTTGCTCAGTAGAGCAAATTCCTTTACTTGCATGCTGATATATGGATCTATGACCTAATCTTGTGCCACTGCCCTTTTAATGCTAGCTGAAATCTCAGGAGAGAGAAATGAAGTGTCACCGATGAGATCCTTGTTTCCCTGTACACCTAAAGCAATGGAACAAGGTGCACTGCTCAACTTACGGCAGAACGGTTTTTTTCATGCGGAAGAATCCGGATAGGAGGACAAATCCCAGACAAAGTTTGAGAAAAAGGAGGTATTTGATATGCCTGGAAAGAAAGTAGAGTTTCAGCAAATCTTATTTAATAGAAGATAACACTTTTCCCCAGACAAGACACATCCTCCCGCTGCCGGGACAGTGTGGAATATAGAGGCATTTGACTACTGGATTTTTTTAATAAATGTCAATTTTGAGACTTTTGTCAGACTCTTCAATCAAATATATGAATATATGCAAACGTACAAGCCTTCAACATGCCTTCCCAACCTGCACATGGGGTTTCACCCTCCAGTCTGCAGTTGCTGTCTTGGCACATTCCTGCAAAAGCCAGTATTTATCTACAAGACCGTTCCTTTCGCAACACACCTACTGATGGCACAGGCCTGCAAATCTCCAACCAAGTCATTTCTAAAAAGGAGTAAATGTGTTGGGTCAATAGACATCCTTTTGGGCTAAAATAATTCCATCCTTTAGTCCAGAAAAGTCATACTACGCCTTTAGTACAGAAGGGCACATCTCAACTACCTAAGAGCTCATTTGCTCTATTTGCTCTAGATTTTTGAGCACAGAGTCACAGAACACTTGAGGTTGGAAGAGACCTCTGCAAATCATGTAGTCCAACCCCTCTGCACAAGCATGGTCAGCTACAGCACAGCGCTCAGGATCATGTGCGGGCAGGTTTTTGACTATCTGCAGAAGAGGAGACTCCACAACCGCCCTGGGCAGCCTCTTCCAGGGCTCTGTCACCCTCACAGTCAAGAAGCTTTTCCTCATATTCAGCTGGAACATCCTGTGCTTCAGTTTTTGCCTGTTGCCTCTTGTCCTGACACATAATGCTGCAGATGCCAACATCAAGCGTTACAGAAGATGCGGCTGATCCTCCATACGCTGCCTGGTTAAACGCTATGAACAGCTAAAGTCTCAAAAGGTGGAGTGTTTCTATAGCT